CCCCCCTTCGTTCTGGGGTGGGATGGGCCGTGGCGCTGCATTGAAGTCATTGACTGTCTGCAGCCATGCCCCCCGCCCGCAGTGCTATCGGACGTGTGGAAAAACATTGCTTGCGTTCCGGTCCGCTGCAAACACAAGAAAATAGAGCATGCAGCATTTTTTTTTGCATTCGCAGTGGACCGGAACGCAGGCAATGTTTTGCCACCCAACCTGGTGTCTGTTGGGATTCAGTAGGCCATAATCTGGCCACAATCTCATATTATTATTACATAGGATTTATATAGCGCCAACAGTTTGCGCAGCGCTTTACATATGTACTATTCTGTGTGAATACATTTACTGTGCAGTGCACACTTCTTCAACTAAAGTTAAAAGGGTTAATAAGAAAAGACTGCAGGGACTAATCGTGCCAAAGCCCCCACACAACCATAATATAGAGCTGTCCCTGGAAATCTATTGCAATCCCTGGACTACTCCATGCAGATCTATACATTGTGGTGTCCAGGTTTCTACGGGTGCAGCTGAGCCACCCCCACGCTGGCCGGGAATGTCTCAGGTGTATACTCCCACAGCCATATGAGCAGTCCGCTCACACGCCACCTCTGCATTACGTTTCCACAGGGACAGCTTGGCACAGGACTGACAGCCGACACTGGCGCATGCGCCTCAGCCCCCGCTCTGCAGTCTATGCAGTCGCAGCCAATGTGGGCGTGGATTCTTGCGTGCTTGACTGGAAAAAAAAACCTCCTTCAAACCCGTGGGCGTCTCAACAGAGGACACTGGGAGGAGCCAGTACTGAGTCCCTCCCTCCCTTTTTCTTAGCAGGGGCCATGCCGCGCGGTTATAGGTTGTGTAGGTGGGACTTGACAGAGCGATATTTTATAAGAGTTTGGGGCGTGGTTTAGCCTTAGGCTGGTTGGTCACGGAGTGGGCGGGACGCAATGCAGGGTGTGTAAATAGTAGAATAATAGGTGGGAGATGCGTGTAGTAGGCGGGGTTGTTAGCTGAATGGGAGGGGAGTGAGGTTAGCGGTTGAGTGGGCGGTGCGGTGCGGTGACAGAAGCTGGACGCATTTTGGAACCGGGTCTGGGGGCTGAGAGTGGAGCCCGGAGGACAGGTAAGCGGGTCAGCTTTCTCCTATAGCTATGCATGGGTCACTTCTAGTCACATGGCCGGAGGACAGATATCACCACATCCAGTGTGCGGTCAGCTTGCAGCGTAGAACACATGTCAATGAGCAGCAATACTTGGCTCGCTCGCTGTGTGTGCTCAGCCAGCCAAGTTCTCCCTCCTCTCTGATCATTCTTCTACTTCGCTCTGCTCACACCGATCTTCTCTCTGTAGAGTTCGCTCATCCTTGTCCTATACCCGATGGCGTTCTCAGCCCTTGTATCTCTTTTTATATAGGATCCGACATGTCTATAGAGTTTGCTCATCCTTGTCCTATACCCGATGGTGTTCTCAGCCCTTGTATCTCTTTATATAGGATCCGGCATGTCTATAGAGTTCGCTCATCCTTGTCCTATACCGGATGGCGTTCTCTGCCCTTGTATCTCTTTTTATATAGGATCCGGCATGTCTATAGAGTTCGCTCATCCTTGTCCTATACACGATGGTGTTCTCAGCCCTTGTATCTCTTTTATATAGGTTCTGACATGTCTGTAGAGTTTGCTCATCCTTGTCCTATACCGGATGGCGTTCTCTGCCCTTGTATCTCCTTATACAGGATCTCACCTTCCTGACATGTCTGCGTAGTCCTAGCAATACTCTGCTCGCCCTTATGTGATGACTGGTCTATAAATGATGTCCTTGGCTCTTGTATAGGATGTGACCTTCCTGACATGCCTGCAGTTATTGGGCGATCCTATACCTTGTCTGTAAATGATGTCCTCAGCTCTTCTATCTTTTTTTATGATCTAACATTCCTGACATGTCTGCACTGAAAGAGAGATGCTATAACTTGTATATATATATATTATTCCTAGTCTCATATAGGATGTAACCTTCCTGACATGTCTGCAGTTATAGGCAGATGTTATAACTCTTCTTTGTATTATGTCCTATGATGTCCTGTCCATGTCCTCTTATATCATCTCATATAGGATCTAACATTCCTGATGTTATAAATCATCTTTATATGATGTCCTCGGCTCTTATATCTTCTTCTATAGGACGTAACCTTCCTGACATGTCTGCAGTTTTAGCATCACTCTGCTCACTCCTATAACTTATCTGTATATGATGGCATATAAAAAAACATAGAGATCATAAAATTACTGAGAGCTAGAGAACTACATATATCATAAAAGAGATGAGCACACCTACAGAGGTGGAGTGATGCTGGCATAGATAGCTCTTCTATCTTCTTATATAGGATCTTCTATGTATATTGTGTATTTTCTATATGAATCTTCCTGACATGCCAGCATCACTCCACCTCTGTAGGTGTGCTCATCTCTTTTATGATATATGTAGTTCTCTAGCTCTCAGTAATTTTATGATCTCTATGTTTTACAATGGCTGTATGCCTTATCTCGGTCACTTGCAGCCTTAGTTCACCTTGAGGTTTTCCTTCTCTGCACTTCTCTCACCCTCTGTTATTATGCCTGTATTATCTTATCTTTTGTGATAATGGCCCCAGGCAGTTCACATTATCTTTCTATTCATTTGCACTTATCTCACCTAGATTGTAATTATTGTTTAATTCTCTGTGTAGTTTTATTCTGACACCTTGTTATCTAAGGATGCATCTGTGTTTTTGTCTTTGCTACATGACTACTTATCATTCTAATGGTTGTAGCTGCTTAGGCCAGCCTTTCTCAACCTTTGTACCCTGGAGGAACCCTTGACTTCATTTTTAGGTCTCAGGGAAGCCCTGCAAAACATTATTAGATGTACATTAGTATGCTCAGGAAGTTGTAGATATCAATTCTCTAATGCTAGCTTTTTGCTGCACAAAGTGAAACCAATAATAATGAACATTGTAGGGTCCCATTACATTAGTGGTCTGTTGAGAAACTTTGCAGGCACCATTGGGCAGGAGATCAGTGGCCTGTCTACTACAAGATCATAAGAGAGACAGAGCAGTCTCCAGCACCTGTCATCTACTATCTTAGTGAAGGGCAGGGAGGAGGGTAGCGTCTTGCCTTGCTGTGTGTTTGTGGAGACACACAAAGCTTACTAAGGTAACGGTGGCTCCATAGGACCCTGCAAGAGATCCACCCTTAGGGTTTGTTCATACACACATCTGGATGCGTCTCTGCAAAATGTGTGTGTGTGTGTGTGCATTTTTGATGCATTCTGGTGCGCTTTTTTTGTTCACAATTGGTTTTGCTTGGATTCTGTTCTGCAGATAGTGTGAACAAGCCCTAGAACAGAAAGTTTTCTAAAACTCTTGGCGCTAATGGCTGCCAGCTGAACGATCCACTTGCTGTTGCATACTCGGTTATCAACAGTTAATCACAGTTTTTCACACAGACTTGAGGGGCTGCTCATCCAAGGCTCTGGGGTTTCCACCACAAACATAGAAAACAAAAGGGAACAGAGCGCCACCTCCGTGTGTAAAATCGTTTATTAGGATAAATAAAACAAGGGATAAATGTACTTGCAAGCAAACGTTTTCATCACGCTTTAACAACAGAGAGGCCACACTGTCTGTTAACCCAACAGGGTATCGCCCCGACTATGTAACAAGGTAGCCTCCGGTCACATCACCGTCCACTGGCCGCAGTCAGCCAAGATTGACGCGTTTCAGGGGCAAGCCCCCTTCATCAGAATCATCACCACTTCTGATGAAGGGGGCTTGCCCCTGAAACGCGTCAATCTTGGCGGACTGCGGCCAGTGGACGGTGATGTGACCGGAGGCTACCTTGTTACATAGTCGGGGCGATACCATGTTGGGTAAACAGACAGTGTGGCCTCTCGTTTGTTGTTCAAGCGTGATGAAAACGTTTGCTTGTGAGTACATTTATCCTTATAAACGATTTTACACACGGAGGTGGCGCTCTGTTCCCTTTTGTTTTTACTAAGCCCTAGAACAGGGTATAGGGGCCAGTGCTCGGGGCTAAAACTGTTAAACACAGGGGTGTGGAATCCCTATCGCCCGACGCCCGGGACATGCAGTTTCGGGCGCCGGGCGAGTAGTTTTTTTTGTACACCTAGCCCCGCTCCGGACAAGCAGAGCTAAGTGTACAGTGTGGAGCCGCCGCTCGTTTTCAAGTGATCTGATCACTTGTATGAAACGAGAGGCGGCGATTCTGTCCACACTCCTCTGGCGGACCCGAGACCACGGAACATGAGCTCACCATAGAGCCCGCAGAGCAGACGGAAAACATCCGTTTTTTTCGTCTGCTCTGTGTTATCACTGAGAACGTGGCGCTGTAATCACAGCGCCACCTGTCTCGGCTGTCAGGAACTACACAGAACATCAGTTCTGTGTTGGGAGGGCAGGTTCCATAAAGAGAACCTGTCACCTCCAAACTATCACTTAGAGCAGGGGTCAGCAACCTTTTACACACCAAGTGCCATTTTTGAAACCATGGTACAACCGAGTGCCAGTGCACGCTTTAGTGTTAGTTACAGGTACGTTTTTTCACTCATGGCTGTACTGCTAATAGTAAGTTAAACTCACTAATTATTTTAATGTGTTTTACCTCTCCAGTAGCAGCACAACTATAAGGGGAAACAATTGAATAACTGGTGCACACACAAAACATGTTCATATTTACATTTGCTGAAAAGTAAACTGGACTTTTTAGTGTGATCCCTGTGTCTTTATTTCATGGTTCAGTTGTGCAATCTCTGGCCTGTAGGATGTTACTGTCAGCTGACCTCAGGCCAGCAGCACCAATGCCCTGCAGGCCTCAGGCCAGCAGCACCAATGCCCTGCAGGCCTCAGGCCAGCAGCTGCTCTGAGGTCTGTAGACCTTGGGTCAGCACCAACGCACTGTAAATCACATACCAGCACCAACACACTGTAAATCACATACCAGCACCAATTTACACATTTTAGCCTGCATATCAGCCACAAACACAATTTTACCTGCTTGAAAAAATAAGCATTTTAGAAGCAGTCTTCCTTACCTACATGGACCAAGGCATATTGGGCACACACACAGACCTATACAAGTGCACGGCAGTATTGTCAGCCACAAATGGCATTGATTTTATTCCTGTCCTACATGTTAGAGCAGGAATAAAATCAAAACTTTGTGGATCAATATACTGCTGTGCATTTGTGAGGGACTGCATGTGTGCTGGTACCGGGGCTAAAATTCATGTAGTTGAGCAGTATACATGTGGTACATACAGTATATTCCAGGCGATCGGCTGGCTCCTTTAATTTTTCTGTGGTCTCTGGCAGGATGGTGTTGAAATCCTCCTGTCGGGCAGGGTGCGGTAATCATCCCGTCGGGTGAGCCGGCTCCTGTCTGCGCGGGCTGGTACATGAGGGATCCTCCAGGCAAGCGCTTGCGCAGACTAAGTTGAGGGCCTCCTCAGCGCGCCTCTGCCGCTCAGTCACGTGAGGGAGGTGGGCGGGCCAGGAATGTAATTGACAGCCGGCTCGAGCTGTCAACTACAAGACTACAACTACAAGAATGCCCTGCAGATAAAGAATAACGTCGCGTGCCAGCTGTCAAGGTCTCACGTGCCAGGCTGGTCACGTGTGCCGGGGGTTGCTGACCCCTGACTTATTCCCCGTCTCTCCCAAACCCCCACCCCTCGGCTATACTTACCTTTCGGCAAACAGTCCCTACCCTCCGCCGGTACAGGTATACTGTCCTTACCCCGTACTATCCAGCGCAGTCCTGCCCTATGCATTTTGAATTTCGCTCGCAAATTGCAAGCACTCATTGGTCAGCGTGGTCTGGGGACCACGCTGACCAAGGAGAAGCGCTATTTAGCACAGACCAATACAGTTTTGATTAGGGATGCACAGATAAAGAGTATTTGGGCAAGTACTTGTACTCGCCCAAATGCTCGATATCTTCTCCAATACCGGAACTTCTGGTCAGAGGAAGATTTCTGTGCAAGCAGGAAGCGGGGCAGCGACTAATGACCCGCCTCTCAGTTTCCTGATTGGCCAGGAAGACAGCTCCTTGCTGATTGGCTGGTAAGCCAGCTTCCCAGTCAATCAGCATTGAGCCGGCTTCCTGACCAATCAGGTAATTACTCGCCGCCCGGTTTCCTGATTGGCCAGGAAGCTGGCTCGATGCTGATTGGCTGGGAAACCGGCTTCCAAGCCATTCACAATCAAGCCGGCCAAACAACATGGAGTCGGCTTCCCTGGCAGTCAGAAAGCCGGGTAGCATCTCATTACCCGCTGCACGGCTTCCTGATTGCCTGGGAAGCCTGCTCCATGCAAACGGAAGCACCGATACTCAGTGAGTACCGAAAGACAAATATCGGTACTCGTGCTCTATACCCAAAAACCGCTATTGGTGCATCCCTAGTTTTAATTAAAACTATTTTTTTTTTTTTGTATCAGGACAAGTAGATTGTTATGAAGGACAAGTAGATTTGGCCCCCGCTTTAGCCCTTGGACAAGTAGTTTTTTCAAAAATGTCCACACCCCTGTAAACATCAAGCATTAAACACATTTTAACTTTAATATCAATTTAACTGTGTGCCTGGAAGAATGAATGCTGCTTTAAAGGTAACGGTTAGACACACCAACTATTGATTTGGGTTGTTTGTTTGTTTTTTATCTAACATATGCAGAGGAGGCCTTTTGACTTTACTTTGCTGCATGCTTGTTCCAGGCTAGTTGCATTGAAATTGGAGACAGCCAGGCAGGTAGCATTTTCAGCATTGACAAACTTTTTATATTCTTTCTTTTAACAACAGTTCCAGTTGAAACCATCACTAACCCGTAATGTCAGGTCATAGGCTGAAAGTAGCTGCAGATGATTTGTGGAAGTTATTTACAACAAACAGTAAACCGTGTGCTTTACCTGCTTCCCTGAACAATGCCACCTCCAGGTGATTGCCAGTGGAAAAGGTATAATTAACCAAAGCCGATGTGACCGGTGATCTTTACTGTGGTCCAAGTAGAGTCCTAATTCCATAAATGAGGCTTTATTTGTTTTGTATGTATTTGTCAGGGCTTTAAAATGTGTCCTGTGAGGAAGTGTGTGCATCCACCCATACAACAATAAAAGACTCGGTCAATACACGCTCTCATCTCCTGAATTTCATTGAAATAATCCCATCTTAAAAACATGTCATTGCATGTGGGAGGAATGCCAGTCCGGTGGCACACAGTCTACGCTCAGCAGGAAACACAGTGGAAGATGTTGCATTTTGCAGCCAAGCACGCCTTTTTATTGCATCTTCTATTCTTTATATACAATACACAGAAATGGAAACATTCCTTCAAAATCAACACACTTTGTTTTCTGCTTTGCCATGTCTGCTTTTACTTATCCTAAATAACTCTGTTCGTTTTTCTCTGGCTGTTTTACTTTGCTGAAGTATGTGACAATAGCCTTTTATTCTTAAAGAACTCTGGGATTTTTGTTAACCCTTGCAGTGGGTCTACCCTTGCAGTGTGGGGGTAAAGTGCTCCTTTTTTGTCTAGGTGCAAAAATAACAGTTATATTCACTCCAAGCCGGCCTGCTCTTAGACCGGTCCCTGGAGCCTCTCCCCCCTCCTCTCTAGTGGTCTAAGGTCCCGGAGTCATCACATTCTGTACAGTATATAGGACATGAGGACGCAGCAGAGGAGGAGAATGGCTGGAGCGAGCGCTGCCACAGCCGGCCATCTTGGTGGATCAGGTGAGTATAACTTTGTTGTTTTCCTCCCTAGAGCAAAACGAGCACTTAACTCTTGCAGGGCAGGGGTAGCCTCACTGCAAGAGTTTGATTTGCCCGGAGTTCTGTCATTTTTGTCCAGGGAGCTAAAATAAAAAAATGTATGCTTGCCTTAACCCCGATACCGGCTGGCTCCAACTTTGGACCCTCCAGCCTGTCCTCTCCTCTGCTCCAGCAAAGGTAAGTCCCTCTGCATCCCTATTTCTATACACTGTTTAGAACGTGATGCTTCACAGGACCTTAGACCGCTGCAGCGGAGGGGGAGAAAGGCTGAAGGGACTGGTCTAAGAACAAGCCAGGATCTTGGTTCAGGTTAGTATAACTTTGCTATTTTAGCTCCATAGACAAAATGAGCATGTAACCCTTGTAGTGGAGGGGAGGGGTAGCCCCACTACAAGGGTTAAGATTTGATTTGCCCAGAGTTCTGCTTCAAGATTATTATTTATACAGGATTTATATAGCGCCAACAGTTTGCGCAGCGTTTAACAATATAAAGAAGACATTACAATCACAATACAAGACTGTAAGGAGGGCCCTGCCCCTGAGGGCTTACAATCTAAAAATGCATTTAACCCCTGCTGTGCAGGGGGCAACCACTGCAGGAGTTTTTGTTTTTAATTCCCAGAGTTTAGCTTTAAGAACTGTATCTAAAAGGTACTATTGCCTTTTATACTGACAGACACCGAATGGAAGTTCTCTAAAACTGCCACAAATACAACAATCAGAAATTAAAGTATATCCACAGAAAAACCCCTTCAGATAGATACCATTGCTGAGACCTGATGGGAATGAATGTTATACATAACACTATACAAAGAATGTCTGGGAGAATTGTTACAAATAATATGATAGAACTAGTACGAGATATGTGTCCACCTTTCCAAAGTCTGGTCCCGGTATAGAAATGCGCAACTGCAAAGTGTTAGTTCTGGTGCACATCTGACCTCTGTGTTCCTCTATACTCTGGGTGTTATTAAAAAATCTCATAGTTGCTCCTAGCAGCCAGTCTAGTATATTGTAATGGTGCATAAAGGCAAGATTGTGGCAGAACCACACACTGCATGTCTGTCTCTGATTCTATGGTACATAATTAAGTGTTATTAACACAATGTAGTCTATTTGCTCAGCTCTGTAGTCAGGGAGTTTGATTCTTTTTATTTCTGTCTTTGTCCCTATTGTATATTTGTATTTTCTTACTTCCTGTATGGTGAAACTTGTCAGCATGACAGGAAGTGAGCGTTAATGTTTCTAATGGGGCCGCGGATAGCGGTAAAACCTGACACTGGTTCACAAGTCAAAGTCAGAGTACTTCTTTTCATTTCAGGGTTTATAACATCTGAATTATTCCAGTAAAAATCATGTTTGTACAAGTGAGGTGTTTGAAGATTCTCTGACAGACATCTTCAGGAATGTATCTATTCCTATAGCCGGGGCTTCCGTCTTCCCTAAAGTAAATCGGTACTATGAAAACGGGTGGGCTGCCCAGAGGCTTCGGTATTTGAAGTCACTAACCTGGAACAAGTACGCAGATCAGCTGTGACCTACATGTTACATAGTTAGTCAGGTTGAAAAAAGACTCAAGTCCATCGAGTTCAACCTATAGAGATACGGAGAAAAAAAAAGAGAAAGGCCTAACAGAACGCTATGCCCACAGCTACCCCCTGTTGATCCAGAGGAAGGCAAAAAAAACCCTATAAAGCATGGTTCAATTTGCTCCAACAGGGGAAAAAAATTCCTTCCTGATCCCATAAGGCAATCGGATATTCCCTGGATCAACAATCCCTGATGCCTAATATACCTATAAGAACTCAATATCCAGTAATATTCTGGGAATTTAAGAATACATCCAGATGTTTTTTTAAAACAATTAACAGAGCTAGCTAGAACAAACATTTCCATGTCTTGTAAATCCGCATGTAGGCCAGGGAAATGTTTGCATACATACAGTAGTTTGCCTCTTGTTTGCATCTATTGGAGAGATCCAGGTTAAAGAGGAACTGTGCTTCCCTTTTGGATTTTTTTAACCCTTCTTACCTTTTGCGTATTGTCCTCAATTCACATACTTGCCTGCCCAGCAAATCCAACATTGTCCTGCTGCAATATGCTGTTCAGGTACCATCTTGGCCCTCCATAGTCATCGGTAGCGGGCTGCCTCTTCTGGGTTCAGGCAGCCAGCCAGCCCCCGATGATGCTCTTGGCT